GGGAGCTACGGGGAGAGAACCATGGTTAGTGCAGGAAATAAGAGATAAGAGAGAACCCTACTCTCCAAGCAGAGGTTGTGGGGGAATGATCGTTACATTTTTATATATGGCCGTTTTTTTTTTTTGTCCTGACCCGTCGGAGGCCGCGGAGCTTCTCTGGCTAATGGATACTGCCTGGCCAATTTGATACTGTCTTTTTACCACCGAGAGGGATCTGCTTGGAGATTAAGAGAACCCTGGGTTAGTGCAGGAAGGCACAGAGAACCCGGCTAACCCAGGAAGTGTTGTTACTTGTACGAATCTATAAATCAGGGAAGGAATGTAAGTATGGAACTGGCTACATGTCGTGTCGTGACGTCATGAACCCACCGTCACAGGAGAATTCTGGGCATGCGCCATCCTGCGTGACCGCACCGGTGCATGCTGGGTCATGATCCACTGCGCCTGCGTGAAGACAGATTCGCTGTCGGGTTTTGCTCCGCTTCCCACACGGCGCATGCGCAGAACAGGTGCTCCAGCTGCTCCACTCCGACCAGACTGTAGCGGAGACAAAAAAACTGCCACATTCACAATCTGCCACACTCAATTGGCCTGAAAACTGCCACACTCCATTTCCCCCTGGCCTAAAAACTGCCACATTTCCTTGGCCTGAAAACTGCCACATTCCGCTGGTCTTGAAACTGCCACATTCCCCTGGCCTACAAACTGCCACATTTCCCTGTCCTGAAAACTGCCACATTCCCCTGGTCTTAAAACTGCTACATTCCCCTGGCCTGAAAACTGCCACATTCCCCTGGTCTTAAAACTGCCACATTCCCCTGGTCTTAAAACTGCCACATTCCCCTGGCCTAAAAACTGCCACATTTCCCTGGCCTGAAAACTGCCACATTCCCCTGGCCTGAAAACTGCCACATTCCCCTGGTCTTAAAACTGTCACATTCCCCTGGTCTTAAAACTGTCACATTCCCCTGGTCTTAAAACTGCCACATTCCCCTGGTGTTAAAACTGCCACATTCCCATGGCCTGAAAACTGCTACATTCCCCTGGCCTGAAAACTGCCATTGGGGTACTATTAAGCAGGCTCGGTAAAGAGATACACAATACTGAAGAAAATAGTGGATGCTATTTAAGACGTCTGACAGCTTTCGAAATGTATGCAGTTGCTGGAGTTAAACTATGTTTTTGTGCACTACCCAACACGTACTGAAGTGTTTACTCACACGGGCAGTACTGCAGGTTACAGCCTCGGACCTGCCGGCTCTGCCCGGAGCATGTCTGATGTTCCCCCGGTGCCGTCGTGTGCTGTTCCCCCGGGGCCTGCTGGTGGCTGTCCCCTGGACCGGAGTGCTGTTCCCCCGGGGCGGGCGTCCTGCAGGTCCGGCGGCGCGACTGCAGCCCGCCGCCGCAGCTGGTGGAACACCGGCCCCAGGCCTGCCACTCCGTCCAACCAGCCGGCACAACTGGGGAGACGGGATTGTAGGATAGGGAGATAGTGTTGCAGCAAGAACCGTGCTTTATCCAGAACCATGCTCAGGCATTGGGGATATAAATCTACGCTCTTGGATACGCAGAGATTATTAGTATTTCCGTGCTTTATCCAGAACCATGTCCAGGCACGGTTCTTGACAATCCAAGCGTATCCAGAACCGTGCCTGGGGTCAAGCTACGTTCTTGGATACGCGGAGACTAACCTGAACGGTGCTTTATCCAGAACCATGCTCAGACACTGGGGATAATCTACGCTGTTGGAGACGCAGAGATTATTCAGTATTTCCGTGCTTTATCCTGAACCATGTCCCGGCACGCGGTTCTTGGCAGTCCACATGTATCCAGAACCGTGCCTGGAGTAAATCTACGTGTTCTTGGATACGCGGAGACTATCCAGAACCGTGCTTTATCCAGAACCATGCTCAGAGACTGGGGGTAATCTACTCTCCTGGATACGAGGAAACATTGCGGGCATGGTTCTGGATAACTCACGCGCCGTATCAAGAACCAATGGTCTTCTTGACCATACCATATGTAACATACCACACATCATTATCAGAGTCTTCACACAAGAACACGAAAGACCAGCATGCTAAAGATCTGTGTTTCTCACCTGGCTGTTCGCAGGTTGGCCCTGTCCACTCAGGGAGGCTGCAGAGACAGTGAACGGCGCTAGGGGCGCTGCAGTCCCGCCGGCATAGCCCGCCGTGCCCGCACGCTCCCTGACATGCGCTGGTGTTCACGGTCTGCTGCTGCAAACATACAAACACACGGTCAACTTATACCGCGTATTCTGCTGCTATCAACATACAAACACACTGCGTCAATTTCTAACGCGTATTCTGCTGCTGCCAACATACAAACACACTGCGTCAACTTTTAACGCGTATTTTCAATGGTAGACGTCCGAGTACTACTGGTAGTAAGAGACGCTTACCGCACGCCGTGTGTAACGCGTGTAAGGTGTGTGTAGGAATGACTGCAGTGACCGTGACAAGTATAAGTTGTATAAGTTGTGTAGAGGGATGCATATGAATGGTACCCACCGTTAGTTGCGTGTAAGCCCGCCTGTCATAGTAGTTATACCCCGGGCTGACCACCACGTCCTGCGGACTCTCGCTCCGGCTGGAGTTGTTCATCTGTAAGTCTGTGTCTGTAAGTTGTAAGTAGTGTGTAGGAGTAAAAGGTACCCACCATAAGTCGTGTGTAGGAGTAAGGTACCCACCGTTAGTTGTAAGTAAGCCCGCCTGTCATGATAGTTACTTCCCGGCCTGGCCACCACGTCCTGCGGGCTCTCGCTCCGGCTGGAGTTGTTCATCTGTAAGTCTGTGTCTGTAAGTTGTAAGTAGTGTGTAGGAGTGTAGTACCCACCGTTAGTTGTAAGTAAGCCCGCCTGTCATGATAGTTACTTCCCGGCCTGGCCACCACGTCCTGCGGGTTCTCGCTGCGGCTGGAGTTGTTGATCTGACAGGCGCGCTGCCGGAACAGGTGGTTGTAGGACCTGCAGTTCCGGTGGCGACTGCAGGCGGCGCTGCAGTGCAGGTGGTGCGGGGCGTGTGTGACCAGACGGAAGGTGTGTCCCACCAGGGCGCGGCCGGGCAGCGGGCGGGCTGCAGGGTTGGCCAGCCAGTGCGTGGGAGCGGGACGGGGGGCGTTACTGGTTACCCACTGCGTGTGGCTGCGCACGAGGATGGCCACGGCAGCTAACAGGCACACGGACAGCGGCAAGGGCTCCTGGGACATCGCTGCGCATGTCTTCCCGGGCAGACTACAGAACCAGTGCCTGACTCAGCGGGTCTGGTCCGGCAAACTTCACAGTCAGGCTTATATACGGGCGGGTATCGACATTTCGTGCGGTCCTAGTGTTGGAATCTTCAACCTTTTGTAGATAATGTTGTTACGTACTAACAGATAGAATCTTTAACCTTTTGTAGAAAATGTTAGGTCTGTTCCCGCAATCTTTACAGCAGAGTCTTATATACGGGCGGATATCGCTTTAACCGATCAACAATCCGCGTAACGACGACATTTCGTGCGGGTCTAGTGTTGGAATCTTCAACCTTTTGTAGATAATGTTGTTAGATACCAACATAGACAGCTGAGGATGGCATTAACTCTTTAATGCAATGCCCTTTAGCTCAAAAGGATAATCTTCCAGCGCTCATTCAGAAATAAAAACACAAATACAACAGATAACATGGTAAAAAAAACATACACTTAGCACAAAAATACATTTACATGATGTACAAATGAAATCTACGTACTAGACACAGAACATTATATGAACAGTTGGCAGTTGGCTTTTTAAAAAGTTGTATTTACTGGGAAGGATTTTTTCCCAACATGTAATCACCAGACGTGGTGACGGCACACTCAAGTTTCTTCAACTTATATTAATGCCACCACCAACACAGGGGACAAATACATGACAGGACAATACTCATTTACACCTGAGTGAAGTGAGGAAAGCCGTGTAAAGTGCCTTTCCCAAGGGCACAAGATCGATGGCATGTCAGGACTCGAACCCGGGACTCTAAGTTCCAAGTCGCGTATTCCAAGGGTTTGGATTTAAGGTCTGTGCCGATCACCTAGGCGAGAGCAATAGCGTTACCCCGCCTGCGTCTATCGCGTCTGATCTCCTACCTTGACATTTCCACAATCTACCGAGTTGCCGGAGTAACTGTTTTCTTGTGTACTCAGTACCCGGATGTCTGACCTTCATCGCCGCACGTCCTTGACATTTGAGTGGTCGGAAGATCAAAGGCCCCGCCCGGCTCTGACGTCATCACTGACATATGGTCCCTGAGTGGAAAGTTCAGCCGAGATATTATCGTGGGGATTTGATATTCTTTCACTGTAATAATGTGAACCATACATACATACCTGTTCAACTTGCACCTTGTAGGCCTAAGAGTGTAAACCATACATACATATCTGTTCAACTTGTACCTTGTAGGCCTAAGAGTGTAAACCATACATACATACCTGTTCAATATGTACCCTGTCTAATAATGTAAACCATACATACATACCTGTTCAATATTTACCCTGTATGCCTAATAGTGTAAACCATACATAAATACCTGTTCAACTACAGCCTCCGCTAGCCAATGACGAAAAAACCGCTTTCTTGTGCAAGGCCAGTATTGTAGGTGCTGCGGATTCGCTGCAAACATTTCAAGTAAAACAGCAGACATAACCTTCTCAGTTCCAAACGTTCCAAACCTATAACTGCAGCGGAGAAAGGACTCGGTATTGTATCAGGAAAGGACTCGGAATTGTATCAAGAACCGTGCCTATTTAGTTCTATGCCTGGACGGGTTAGGATCATACCGATAGTCTCCGCGTATCCAAGAACGTAGATTTGCCCCAGACACGGTTCTGGATACCCTTGGACTATCCAGAACCAAGTATGGAACCGAGCTAGAAAGGTTCTGGATAAAACACGGTTTTGGAATATTACAACAGTTGCCGAACAAGGGAGGCATGAAACAGGCAATGCATAACAATTCTCGTAATTGTTTATTCATCATGTTTTTTCTGAGCAAAAGCGATGCATTTACATCAGGACGTCGCTTTCCCACAACTTCAACAAGACGTTGTGCAGATCACGGGAACGCCACGCGCAGTTCACGTGGACACCACGTGCAGATCACGAGGACGCCACGTGCAGTTCACGGGAACGCCACGACGTCGGCGCCTGTCTACATTAATCATTATACTGCATGTACAAGAGCAACTCTGTCCGAATCATACAGTTCCATCTACCTCTCAGGAGCACTGCAAATATTTTTGGAAGTGACAAACGCACTTTTGTAACCAATTCTTGCAGCACAGATTTGTCATGGATTTGCAACAAAATGTGACATAAATAATAAGCAAATGAAGATGCAGCACTAAAACCTAGTTAGCAGCTAGTGGGTGTAACTAACCCTACACGCGTCGTGCAGATTACACTTTACCACTGACTCACATTTGCTGGCATTAGTAAACACGTTCCCATTCCGCACTATGTTACATTGTTCTTAACATGATGGCAGGTCATCGTCATTTATACATTTGTATACAAGTATTCGCTCCTCCAAAACCCTCCATTGGACCAATAAAATGTTACAAATATCATGTAATGTTGGTGATCATCGACTGCATTTGCAAGACGACACAACCTTATTGTTGCATTTAAACTTCAAGCGTGCTCTTATTTCAACAAGAACAGCACGTGTCTCATCTAAATTCATTGTTATAGTAAACGTGCTTAAGTTTCACACAGACATCAGTGAGCATCCTTAACTAAGGTTTAAACAAAACAGATTCGCTAACAGCTGACTACACATCATTTCTTCCACTAGTTCTACTGTGAAGTTATCGACAAGAAATCGTTCAATAAATATTGTAGTGGCGACGAGGTTACCATGGTTACCAGGTATCATGTTACAACTGACGTCATCAGCGGAATGTGTCCATAACTATTTACAGGTGCGGCGTACACAACAGTCCATAACAGATAATGGCACCTCGTACCCAGAACCGTGCTGGTCTGTTTCCATGCCTGAATGGGTTAGGGTTAGAATCAGGAACGTTTCTGGATAGTCTCTGCGTATCCAAGAACGTAGGATTTGCCCCAGGCACGGTTCTGGATACGCGTGGACTATCCAGAACCGTGTCTGAACATATGTTCTGGATAGCGCCCGGTTCTGGACACAGCAGGCGTCCGTTACCGTACATGTACGTGATGTTGGACAGCCCGACATCAGCGCACAGCACAAACTACTGCTACATACATCACAAATGGCGCCAACCCCAGATCGGTTGTTTGGATGAAATACTGTAACAAAGTTTCATGACTCATGGTCAGGCAAAATCCGTGACAAAAATGCAAAAATCTTACTTGCCTAAAATATCACAATATGTAAAACTAAATGTGAGCCTAGCGTTAAAACGTTACTGCATCGTGAAACGCTCTGTTCGGCAGCGCTGGCCGTGAAACAATAATAATTAGTCTTTCTTTCAGCCAAAATGGCTGATAAAGTGGAGCATTTTGGACATATGCAACATGTGATCAACATGTATGTAACATGTGACAAATATCATAGGAAACAACATGTCGTATTGCACTGCTAGTTCCGTACCACTGACATGGCCTTCTTGACTACTGAAACCGCATTGTATTTACCCTTACATTGACTACAGCTAGCTCCTAGCGTAATGGACACTATACTAGCAATAATACATGTACGTAGCATTACCAACATCAGTATCGATATCCCAGCCTCCAAATATAAAATTCACAACTCTGAGGACATCCCAGCATCAAATACATTCTCCTTATGGTTAACACAGGCTCGACCAAAACCATTTACACCGTCTGTACAAGCATTGTTCTACATGCCTACATTTGCGTTTACTAACTCTATAATCCTAAATACATTATATCCTTACCGACTATGCTTAGTTATTAGATCACACACAAGTAAGACAGGCTTGTGAGCTACAGCATTACATCATCTCTACTGCTTCGGTAGCTTACGGTCCAGGATTCACAATCTTGTCATCAGAAAATCAGCCTTTACAACTATTCCTATTGATTTACAATAATCAGGACTCTATACAAACGAATGATCCTTCTAGTGGTACTATAACAATCCCCAGCCGGCCCGCACTCCTGCAGAAACTGGTGAGTTTCACCCATGGCACTTCCTTACGCGTCATGTCCGAGTCATATCTGCGTCATCCCGTCATGACTGAGTTATCCCGTCAGCTCACAACCCTCCCCGCCCTCCTTCACGTCATCAGCGCCTTTCCCGAAGGTCACGAAAGTTGGTCTGTCCGACAGAAAACCCACGTTCCCCTCCTGGTCGCGGAACGTGCCCCCCTCCCTCCCCGCGTCACAGATGGTTTCTCCCTCCCTCCCCGCGTCACGAATGGTTTCTTCCTCCCTCCCCGCGTCACGAATGGTCTCTCCCTGCCTCCTCGTCTCCTGTGGTCCCGTCTGACCGCCTCCGGCCGGAGCCTGGTTCTCCACACCTTCCGTCAGCTGACCCTCACTCGGCTCAGAACTCACTTTGGTCTTCACTACCTTAAGTATACAGCCTTCCGAATAATACGTGCCCATCACCACTTCCTGGTACCCCTTCTTGTCCTGCTGGGGACTTCTTCCCTCATCCTCTGTGTCCTCAGAACAAGACATTGCCGCTGTTCCTTCATCTGGCTGTTCAGGACTAGACATTGCAGCTGTTCCATCATCTGCAGGGCTGGACATGGCAGCTGTCCCATCATCAGCATCTGCAGGGCTAGACATTGCTGCTGTTCCGTCATCAAGCTGGTCAGGGCTGGCCATTGCTGCTGTTCCCTCATCAGCAGGGCTGGACATTGCCACTGTCCCCTCATCAAGCTGATCAGGGCTGGAC